TAGTGTTGGGATTGTAGAGTAGTCCAAGATGAGCAACAAAGGATCACGGCATTCATAGCAAGTCTGCATGGGAACTTGCAGCGGAAACTTCTCAAGAAGACATTCCAATCTTGCTGCGAGGCATTTTCATTTGCCATGAAGCTGGAAAGAAAGCTTCTAGTCGACCTGGGGATTGCTAGAGTTGATTTCGACCAAGCCATCATCCTGTTAGAGTCACCCTGTGCAGTTGTTCGCCCATCCACACCAAAGCCCGTCACTATTGAGCATATGCCTCCGGCTCTTGAGAACTTTGCCAATGAAATGCGGTAGCTGAAGGAGATCATTCTTCAGCAGCAATCACACCATGACAAACTACTCCAGGAGTTGGTGGAGTCCAGGAAAGAGGACAAGTCCTACTTCATTGATGGCTTACATAGTGAGAGCATGCGGCAACACTTGCATCATTCTCAGCCTACAAAGAGTTTGGAAGAGCTCTTTGATGCGGCTTGTTGACTTGACAATGACAAGCACAAGTCTCGCAAGCGTTTGCGGAGTCTTTCTGTCAAGAATTGTCATGATGATCGCCATGGACACAAGGATGGGAACAAGCGTCACAAGTTGAAGTCGGTGGTGACTACTTCGGATGCAAAGGGGTCCAAGAACCAGAAGTTCTTTGTGAAGAATTATAGATAGGGTTGTCATCATTGCGGCAAACTTGGACACTACAAGGCTGATTTTCCGCAATTGAAGAATAAGGAGCAGGACAAGAAGAATGGCCAATCTTCTTCTCACAGTAAGTCAGATACCAAAAAGTTGCAAACTTTGCAGCGTGAGGATGACGAAAACAACCATTCCAATCAGAGGAAGAGACTTTTGATCGTTGCTCGTCAGCTCAACTGTGTGTGGAACAAGATAGAGCTTGAGGATACACGTGAATCAACTTTAATGCTGGAGGGCGTGTTCTGTGGCGATCCAGTGCGGATTTTATTGGATAGTGGGAGCGATGACAACTTTGTTTCGGCAAAGTTTGTTGCGGAGCATAGCCTGGTCACACGTGGAGTTCTTCCATACACAGTGGACGGTGCAGCTAACTCTCCTCAGCATTTCGATGCTTGTGTCGAGGGGCTGGAAGTGTTGGTTGGCAAAACCACACTTGTGGAGACTTTTTATCTCTCGAATATCCATCGTGTAGATTTCATTCTTGGGATGCCATGGTTAGTGAAGGTGGATCCAAAGATAAAGTGGAGTATTAAGCGTATCTTGCTGGAGTATGGTGGCGTTAAAAATGTGTGATTTGGCGAGGGCATTCAGCCACCAGTTGTTATACTCTCTGCTACATCTTTAAAGTGGGTTTGTCGTAATGGAAAAGCACTTTCAAGTTACTTGCTGTTTGTTCGTGACTTGGGGGACTAAAGCACGTATGGGGGAGAAGCAGCAGTATGGGATGTACTTGACAAGTTTTCTGATGTTTTTCCATCTGAACTTCCTCATAGATTGCCTCTGTTACGAGGTGTGGAGCATGGGATTACATTGGAGCTAGGGACGCGGCCAATTTACCAGCGTCCATTTCAATTAAGTTATGTGGAGGAGCAAGAAGTTCAATGACAAGTCAAGGAGTTACTTGAATTTGGATTTATTCAGCCAAGTAAGTCTTCATTTGGTGCTCCAGTCTTGCTTGTGAAGAAGAAGGACAATTCAATGTGAATATATATTGACTACCGCGTTTTGAACAAAAAGACAATGAAGGATAAGATGCCGATGCCACATATAGATGATATCTTAGACAAGCTTGGTGAAGCACGAGTGTTTACCAAGATTGATCTGAGGAGTGGATATCATCAGATTGCAATGGATGATGCATCTATCTCCAAGATGGCATTTAACACAAGCTTTGGACATTTTGAGTTTCCAGTTATACCGTTTAGTTTGATGAATGCACCAGCCATATTTACTCGGTTGATGACGGAGGTATTTGGGCGTTATGTTCATGAGTTTGTGGAGATTTTCCTAGACGATATTCTTCTTTTTAGCAAAAATATGGAGGAGCATAAGGTGCATTTGCGCAAGGTTCTTTTGTTACTCCGAGACAGCAAACTTTATGTGAAGAAGAGCAAATATGAATTTGCAAAGTCGGAGGTGGAATATCTAGGCCATATTGTGACATCTAAAGGTGTCAAGACAGATCCAAGGAAGGTGGCTATGGTGGAAAACTGGCCTACACCGACTACAGTGGCTGAGTTGCGTAGTTTCCTTGGTATGGCTAGTTACTACCGACGTTTCCAACATAGGATTGCAAAGGTGGCTATTTCTTTGACACGGTTGTTACACAAGAATGTGCCATTCGAGTGGAAGAAGCCATAAGAGGAGAGTTTTGTGGCGTTGAAACGATTGTTGAGCGAGACTCCAGTGCTTCACATTGCTGATCCATCGAAACCTTATGAGGTGACATGCGATGCGAGTGGTTATGCACTGGGAGTTCTCATGCAAGAAGGATAGCCTATTGCATATGAGAGTCGAATTTTGAATTCCGCAGAGCAATGCTATTCCATATATGAGCAAGAGTTACTCTTTATTGTTCATGCTTTGCGAACGTGGCGGCACTATCTTTATGGTGCATTGTTCATAGTGTTGACAGATCACAAACCACTTATGTATCTTTTCACACAGAAGGAGTTGAACACTAGGCAAGCTCGTTGGATGGTCAAACTCATAGAGTTTGGGGAGTTTCCTATTGAGCATTATCCGGGAAAATCAAATGTGGTGGCGGATGCTTTATCTCTTGTTCGTCATGTGGCGACGTTACAAACATGATTTTGTCATCATTTGAGTAAGGTGGTCAGCGAGTTTGGGTAGTTGGTTGAGCATGCTCAAGCTCAAGATATTGAGGTGGCCTCTTTGCAAGACCAGATAGAAGCCCCTTTCTCATTGGTGAATGGGATTCTCTACTACAATGGCTATATATATTTCCCACTGGTGGATGCGTTAATTACTCAAATTTTATTCCACTATCATGATCGTTCAGAGGCTGATCATTTTGGGGGAAGAAGATATATGAGTTGATTAAACGCAACTTTTATTGAAGGAATATAAAGGTTGATATCCTCAAGTATTGTAAATCATGCAAGCTTTGTTAGCGGGTTAAGGTGCCATGGGAGAAGCCAAGGGGACTTTTGCAACCTTTACCTATTCCTCAGAGCCATTGGTGTAATATCTCTATGGACTTCATCACTTGTTTGCCATGAACACAGAGGCAAAAGGAGCAAGTATGGGTCATAATGGATCAATTGACGAAGTATGTGCAGTTGTTGGCTCTTTGAAAGACTGTCACTGCCTCAGACTTGGCTGTGGTTTACTTGGAGAAGGTTTTTCCTGATTTTGGTTTGCCAAATGAAATCATTAGTGATCGAGATTCAAAGTTCACCAGTGGATTTTGGAAAAGCTTTGCAAAGGCTATACAAGAGATTTTGAAATTCTCGAGTGGAGATCATCCTTAGACGGATGGGCAAACCAAGCTTGTGAATCAGGTGGTGGAGGATATGCTACATTGTAGCATTAGTCAAAGGCAAGGATAGTGGGTTTATATCTTCCGTTAGTGCAATTTGCTTACAACAATAGCCAACACAGTGGAACCAAGCTAAGTCCTTACTTCGCCATATTTGGAAAGCATCCTCGAACAACGGTGGAGTTGGGATTGCATTTGAGTAAGGACGTTCAAGATAAGTTTGATGCTGAGGCAGCTGATCTGGCCACAGAACTTGATGAGATTCTGGTGGTGTGCAAACAGAATTTGCAAACAGCTCAGGATAGAGCAGAGAAGTTTGCCAATGAGCATTGCCAATTTCAGGAATATAAGGTGGGTGATCTCGTTTTTGTGCGGGTGATCTTTCCATCAAGTGAGCAATGGAACACCTTAGTGCCTTTATGGACAGGGAAGAGTGATAAACTTTCCTATCGATATGCTAGTCCATATGAAGTGCTAGAGTGCATTAGTAAAGCGGCTTATTGGGTGCAGCTGCTAGCTGGGGTGAAAATTCATCTGGTATTTTATGTCAGCCAGTTGAAAGGTGTACTATCTCGAAGTGACAGGCTCAATGCCTCTTTGATGTATACGATTGTGGAAGGGTGATCACCGGTACAACTCGTTCTGGGGACAAAGACTTTATTGGGGGGGGAGAATTGTTAGTGCCAGCTTTGACCATGTGGTCAACTTCGGTCAAAAGGAGGCTCAAGGGTATATTAAGGCATGTTAGGGTAAAGGACTTAACTTACCCTAGGGCTCACAGTGGAACGGCGGCACAGTAGAGCTTTTGAGGTAGCTTAGGGATGGTTAGGTGGTGAGGAACCTCAAAAGGTGGTGTAATATAGTCTAGGATGACTAGATTTTTGTCTTTTTGCGCCGAATCATAACATAAATGGTGTCTGTTCTCTGGCCCAAACATTCTTGCTCCATTTGAGTTAAATTTTGAACCAGACAAGCACCCAAAACGGGCATCTAAAGCCCTTACAACAAAGAACATATCTCAGCAAACTTCTAGCACCATTTTCAAAGAAAGGATGGGCACGATAATCAGATGAGAAATCCAACCATATGCCACACAGCCTGTTTAAGATTCTGTTTAATGAAACTCCAAAACATGACAGCAGAGAGGTTCCACAAAGGTGTCATGGCTGTTGGTTATAGCATTGCACCTCCCCTCCTAGGTGTCCAAAAGGTCTCTAACTACATCCATAGGAGCCTGTGCTTCTTAGCTCAACCAAGATCTTAAACTTAAGAAAAACCCCTTGAATTCCAGCTATAAGACCATTGTCACCTATGCTAAAGAATAGCAAGAACTATACTCCACTACATATATGCAGGCAAACATGTTTCCACTGGCAGATCACAAACCACACTGAAACTGGCAGGAATCTGCTCAAAACTTTATGCTTTGCCACCAGCTAGATGTGCTCCTCTCTCTGGACACTCCGCGTTTTAACACAAGATTATACCTAGGTTATACCTAGGAAGTGTTAGGGTTCTTAGTCGATTTCATGGCAGCTGCCCGGCTCCCGGAAGCGGAATCGCTGCCTGATGGGTTCACCGTAGGGGAGGCATCCTCCTCGTCGCAATCCCTGGCTGGCCAACTCCTCCCGGCTCTGCCGGATGGATTCTCCGAGGTCTCGAATTCGCAGCAAAATGCGCCACCGGCGCCGCCGCTCCAGCTAGACGATTCTGGCCCCTACGTGCCGTCGCCCCGCGGTCTCGGCAGTCCCTCGCGCAAGGAGCAAATGGTGGACGATGTAGCGGTGTCCACGACAGAGATGGGCGATTTTTCGGTTGACTTGAGGGCGGATAAAGAAGCTGAAAGGCTGCGGAGATTTCCAGTTCCACTCTCTGATAATTCTCTTCCAAGTAGCAACGCGGAGAGCAATGGAGAGGAGGTTTTGGTGAAGGATGGAAGTAAGTGTTTTTTCTTTGGTTGTTTTTCTCCTTCTTCCTCTCGTGAGTTCTTGTAATGCATACAGCGTTTGCAGGATTTTCGGAAGCTTCGAAATCGCGGAAGTGTCGAATGAAGGAAATCAAGCTCTTGTTGGAGTCTACAGACAAGAATGCCGAGGAGAAACTGGAGCTGCTACAAACGAAGTACTTCCAACAGGTCAGGCTCACTGTTTTTGGTGGACTTTCGAAACTCTTGGGTGTTTGTGTGTAGTTGGTTGAGATAGAGCAGCTTGAAAAGGAGTCTGGTGTTCTACGCCAGAAGCTCCTTCTAGAGAATGCCAACAGAGCTGCTTGTGAGTATATATAATCACTGCTTTTGATAACCAACCATTTCTTCTTTTGTTTTTCTTTGCAGTGTCTGGCGATTTAAATAAGAGCGTTCTAATTCGTCAAAAGTTGGAATCATTGTGTCGGGAGCTTCAACGGCAAAACAAGATCCTTTTGGTACGCGTACAAATCTAGCTCAAAGCCAATCTTATTAAACAATCATCTTCTTCATTCAGGACGAGAGCAAGAAGATTGCCTCAGAGGAACAGCAGCGACGACAGGAGCTGTCAACTAAGTTTCATAACACGATCAAGGTTGGCTCTCATTTGAAGTTGATTGTTGACGAGCATCACTTACTTTCAGGAAATATCATTGAAACTGGATGAACAAGGCGACGACCGGATACGGCAGGTCAAGGAAAATGAAATGTATGTTTTTATTTTGCAAGCTCCTATCTTAACGTGGGAGGCTGTCTTGTAGATTGCGTGAGAAGCTCAAGCACTTCACGCAGCAATACGAAGTAAGAGAGGAGCATTTCTCTCACCAGGTACACGCTCCTTTTCCTCACGTTTAAATCGTTTTACATCTTTTTCTTTTGCGACTTGTAGCTCCGGACAAAGGTGCTTGAACATCAGCTTTTGGAAGTAAAGCTGAAGCAACAGCAGGAACGTTTCGTACAGGAAGAAGCGAAAGCACGAGCTTATACCGAGCAAATTTCACAGCTGCTGTTAACAGAACAAGATCTCCGTTCGCAGCTGGCGCTCTACGGTGACAAGTTTGAGCAGTTTCAGGTATTGGTCGAAATCCTATGTTTAACTAAAACATATTGGCTTTGAGCAGGACACACTGACTAAGAGTAATGAGGTGTTTGCGTCCTTCAAACAAGAGATGGAAAAGGTTACGTTGCCATATTTTAAGTTACAGAAATGTGATTTCTTCCTTGCAGATGTCTAAAACGATAAGGACGTTGGAAAAGGAAAACCTCTCGCTCAAAAAGAAATGCCAACAATGTGATGTATCTCTCATTGAGCTCTTGGACGAGGTAAGAAAGTTGGCAGTAACGGCTCGATCTTGTGTTTTACGACGTTTGTTTCCTCGCAGCGTGGCTCGCTGAAGAAGCAGCTTGAGACGACCACAAACCAAAAGAAGAAGCTTGAGGCACTCTGCAGGATCCTTCAAGCCGAAAGAAAACAGCCATCCAGCGTTACCGGTTCTCCCTCCCCGGAGCCAGAGGTATGTGGGATTTCGACCTCTGGTGGTAGATGGTACAACGCTTTCGTTTTCGTTATGTAGATGGTACAGGATCCTGGGACGTGAGAAGATCCACCTGGGGAGAGAGGTCGTGCTCCTCGCAAGCACAATGCCAGCGAGAAAGAAGGAGAGATACGTTGCCCCGAGGTATGGCCTGAGCGAAACACTTGGTAACTGGACTGACTGTGGCTTTATTCTTCGGGTGTGGCAGCTGGCTATTTTGGAAATAAGTCTGCCCGCTTCCAGCAATTATTCTGGTGAAAGCCGACAACTTGGAGGCCCCCTCCCCGTTCACTTCGATCCATCCAGCTTGTGAAACCCGGTTGCGTCTGAGCAAAGGCACCACAGAGGTCTGGACAGGAACTTTTTTGCCTTGAGAATGTTTGGATTAAGTAGTAGAGCTGCTTGTCTCTGTCTTTAGGAAGCTAAGCAGGACAGCGACAAAAATCCTTGAATGCCCTCGCTAACGCCTCTCATTGTGTTGTGACAGAAGTCCAGAGAAGATGGCTTGGCTGGCCGGGATGGAGATTGGCAAGGGAGCTACAAAAAAACTCCAGAGCGGGGATCTTCCTGGAAGTTTGAGACGAAGAACGTGTTACACCCCCAAGTAAGCTTTGCTTTCAGCACAGTTTCAAATGAAATCGATCTCTTGCACAAATTGCGAGATCATGGAACGTGATCGCCATGATGTTTGTTCCAGCGCTGGTTAAAAGGTACGAAGAGCTCTAGCACGAGACAAGACCGTGAAGCTTAGAAAAAAGAAAAGCGAGAAAGTATGTGCTGGCTGGCTGTTTTGGAAGTAAGGCTGCGCGATCCAGCTCGTATTTCCATCGCCCAATTACACAGTGTAAGCGGACAAGCTGGAAGGAATCGCCACGCCTCCATAGCTTAGTTCGCGACTAAAGAGCTTGATTTTTGCAGTGGAATTTTCCTCGTTAGAGGGGAATCGCAAAGAGGTTGTGGACAAAAGAGCTCGCGAGAGATGGCTTTGGATTAAGAAGTAGCTGCGCAGCTCTGGTCGCTCTTTCACTCGGCGATGTCGACAAAAGCTTTGTTTATGTCTTTGCTCCTGTGAGCTGGCTAAAGAGGAGATGGGAGAAATAAATGTACTGTAGCCATACGCTGGCCGGTACGTACGAGAGAATACGCTAGAAAAAGTTCTCTACTATAGCTTGATCTCGTGAGCTTTTCTTTTTATCGCGATGGTGACAAAGAAGAATTCTTTCTCCTCGTGATTGATCAAACAAGCTAGCTTTGGAAAGAGTTTTTTAAGGCGATCACATCGCTCTATAGAGAAGCTTGCCTGCCATTTGGAGCTGCTATAAGCTACAGAGCTAATCAATATAGAGGCACCATGGAAATCAAAAGCGATCGAGACGATCGAGCGATGGATTGTGGTGGAGCGAGCAACAATCTCTCTCGACCATCATGTGAACGAACCACCGATCGAACGAACAACACTAAGAACACCCACCAAACTTCCACGGGGGACCGGTTGCTCTCGTGCCTTTCGTGCTAGAAACCCACTGCAAACTTACTACTCACTCGCGGGATTGATGGGAACGAACCTGTTATCCACGCCCAGATCTTTAAGAACTCCTGGCGAGACGCGAGGGAAGCGTGGAGCTCGCCTGCCAGATCTGCAAGACCCAAGTTAGAAACAGCCCAAGAAGGAAGAACGCCATGGATTTGGAGATCTGGAGATCTGGAGAGAACCAAAGTTCCTTATTGATGCCAGAGTGTGGCAAAAGAAGAGATGCTACAAATGCCCGCCAGGAACGAAGCTACATTAGAGAATGTAGCTTCCCGCGAGCCCCCTCGTCGCCCCCGCAAGATCTAAAGAGCCTAACTAGACCCACAAACCAAAAGAGAAAGAACATACCCAACCAAGAGAGAGAGAGAGAATCTCTTCACAGTAGCAAGAATGCCGGCTGGAAACCCAATCGAGAGAACCTCGAAGAACAAGCATCGGCTATGGAGCGATCGATCCCTCCGCCCTCTTGATCCGAATGTCTTTTATGACGAACACACCAAAGACGAGTTTTCTTTCTTTTCTTTCTTGCTGCCACTGCTGCTGCTGCTGCTGCTGATACTGCTGCTGCCGAGCTGATAGATCGACCGAGAAGATCGAGAGAATAGAGAGGAGAGAGCGCGACGAGAACAATTTTTTTTTTCTTTTCCACTTTCATTTCAAAGAGAGACCTCGAACGAACGAAGAACGAGCGACGAAGGAAGAATGATCATGATCATCAGTAAGTGTGGTATGGATCCTGCGTGAGCAATTGCCGGGTCGCGTGCTCCAAGCGGCTACCAAGATCCAGGACTTGCTGCTGCTGCTCCAGGCTGAGATCGTCCACCTCGAGGCCGCCGCCACCAAACGACTTGGTCAGGCGCGCGGCCTCCGCCACCGCCAGCAACAGCACCACCAACATCACCACCGCGAGCACCTTGTTCAGCACCTTCCCGGCCTCCATTTCTCCGCTTCCTGGATGATGGGCGATTCGATCTGCTCTGGAAAAGAGGGGAGAGAGAGCTCTTGAGCTCCAAACACCTGTGAGAGTGAGAGAGATCTAGCTCGCTCGAAGAACGAAAGTGAGAGAGAAAGAGATCGTCTTCTTCTTCGCTTGCTTCCCTGATTTGCTTTGCTCGCTTTGATCCTTCGCTCTAGCTAGAACTTTGGCTTGGTGCGCGCGAGCTCTCGAGCTCTCGAGCTCTTTTCTTTCAGAGGGTTAAAGCTATGGTGGTATTAAAGCCAGAGGGGAATGGAGAAAAAGCAGCGAGTCCAGCGAGGAAGGGTGGTCGCTTTGTGTGTTTTTGTGGCCATTAAACGCGTCGTCGCGTGGTGTCGGTCACCGCGGCGCCGGTCGCACGGCAGCCGCGGCGTACGGATGACGCGGCAAAACCAGAGGAATCCGAGGCGAATATGCCTGGCATGATTCTCTTCAGAGCATAGGATGCTTGCTCTGACCCCGTGTGTTTGTGTTTTTCCTGTGCATGATTGCGTGATTGATCCGTTCATGGGTAGGGAGGGCTTTCTTGTTTCGCCACCTTTTCTCGTGTCACCAAACATTGTTGTAATCATAGGGATCATGCTATGATGTGAATGGTTTGTTTTTTTTTTTTGGTTTTTCTTTCGCGCCAAGCAAACGTGAGCGAGTGGATCACGCGTGTTCGATCGCGGTGACTTTTGGAACCCTTCCCATGCAACTTCTCGCGAGTGGCGTTGTTTTGATTGTTTCAATCAGCCGGGAAAAGAGCCTTGACTTGATCCAACTCTCGTGCACGTTGTTTCACGAGATCGCGGCTTCCGGAGATCTTCTTGTTTACCATTTCCCTTCGCAAACTTCTAGAAGCCACCTGGCCAAGTTTCTATTTCTATATCGTGGGATCCCCCGGGGCAACAGTTGGCTCTTGCCGATCAATCGCACTAGCAATAGCATCAACAAACGAAGAACATTTCTAAACAAAAACAAAAACCAGGCGCTCCAGCTACTTCTTAATGGCCTTTGTGGTTGTCAGCCACCATTCCTTGAGGAATTGGCCCGGCCTCTTTTTTTTTTAGATGCTCGACAACTTTGGCAGCGTGTACGGAGGAACACGACGCCGCGCGGTGTACGGCAACCCGCGGTGCGGTCACTGTGCCCGCCGGACGCACACCTAGCCGGTCGCAGGGAATGGCCATCACCGCCAGCTGGCGAGCAGCAGGCCTTTAACTTTCGGCAGTGTACGGCCAAAACACTATTAAGTGGCGCACAGCTGGCGGGCAGACAGTTGGCATCGTTAATTCGAAACTGGGCCGGTGACGTGGCCATTGCGTGCGTTGGGTTCGAATCCCTAGACGTTTATTAGGGCTTATGGTTATTGTCCGCCACCTTTGAGCGAGGCGATCAGTTTCTTCACGCGGGCGACGTCGTCCCGTCGGTCCAGCGTCGCGTACATGTTTGACAGGCAAATGTATGGACCAGCATTGCCGGGTTCTCGATCGATTGCTTTGGCTGCTACTCGCTCGGCGCGATCAACGTCCTTGTGGTTGCAAGATGCCCCAAGGAGGGATGTCCATGCCACGGCGAACGGGTGAAAGGGCAGGGTTTCGATCAGGGCCTCGGCTTCTTGCAGCCATCCTGCTTTAGCGAGCATGTCAATGAGGCTACCGTAGTGTTCTTCCTTGGGCTGGATGTTATGGTCGGATACCATGGAATTGTAGTAGTATATACCATCCTCGACCAGGCCGGCGTGTGTGCACGCCGTGAGCACTCCCAAAAGTGTTACCTGGTTGGGCTTGGTGCCTTCCAAGTCCATCTTTTGGTAGAGCTCGAGGGCTTCGGTGCTATGCCCCTGTTGAGCATACCCTGCAATGGTGCAAGTCCAGGAGATCTGGTTTGGAGTGGGCATTTTGTGAAAGAGGGCGATAGCGTCTTGCATGCTCCCACATTTGGTGTAAAGGTTCAAGAGAGCGTTGCAGAGAGAAGTGTCTTGTTCGTCAAATCCAAGCGATGCAGCACGCGTGTGGATGAACTTTCCATCTTGCAGTGATCCGATCGATCCCAATGCCTCGAGCAAAACCATAAAGGTGACGCCGTCGGGCTTGATGCCCTCGAGATCCATTCGGTGGAATAGCTCGATTGCGGCGTTGCTATCTCCAGCCTGGGCATACGCCGAGATCATTGTGTTCCAGGCAATCACACCCGGACTCGAGAGCTTTTCGAAAGTTTCCAAAGCTTTTGCAAGGCTGCCACACTTGGCATACATGTTTATCAAGCTGTTGCTCACGAGAGCGTCAACCTTTACAGACGATTCAAGGATTTTCTCGTGAATCAAAACTCCTCGATCGAGATCGCCCACATTCGCGCAAGCCTCGAGGGCGCTCAAGAAGACCGGCGTGTCGAGATCCAAAGGTGGCGACGACGATTCGATAGCCTCAAAGAAGAGCTCCAATGCCTCCTTGCTATGCCCATTCTGGGCATATGCCGAGATCATAGCCGTCCACGTCACCCTCGTTCTTCGTTCCATGGCATCAAACACACGACGCGCCATGGCCGCGCTCCGGCACCGCCCGTACAGGCTAACCAGCGCGTTCCGTACGGCAATATCGCCCTCGAATCCAGCCGCGGCGGCGCGCTCCTGGACGAATTTGCCGCGATCGATCGACTGGATGCCGGCGATCGCGTTGAGAAATGTGATCCTGTTGTGCGGGACGCCATCCAGATCCATCGCGCGAAAGAGGAATAGCACTAGATCCTCGCGCCCGAGCCGGGCGTAAGCGCCGATCATCGCGTTCCAGGAGACGAGGGTCTTCTCCTCCATGGCGTCGAAGATGGATCGCGCCAGCTCCAGCGCGCCCAATCGCGCGAAGGAATCGAGCATCACGTTGTCGAGGACGAGATCGCGGGCGCCGGTGGCGCTGGCCCTGGCGTGGATCGAGCGGAGGAGGGGGAGATCCGCGGTGCCAGCCGCGGCGATGGCGACGAAAGTGGATCCACTCGGCTTGACGCCCTCGTGATCCATTCTTCGCAGGAGATGGATCGCTTGCGCCAGATGCCCGTTCTGGGCATATGCTGCGAGCATGATCGTCCAGCTAAAGACGTTGCGATGCGCGATCCCATCGAAGACCAGGCGCGCTTCCTCGAGGCTGGAGCACTTGCCATACATCTCCACCAGGAGATTGAGAAGGAATGTGTCGCTGGAGGAATGCGTGGAGGTCAGGGACGAGGAAGAGGTGATGTGGGCGTGAATCCGGCGACCCTGCTCGATCGCCCTGGCGTTGCCGCAGCGCTTGACGATCCAGGCGCACACCCCCCTGTCGCTGCTGGAATCAAGGCGCTGGATGTCCTCGTCGATTCGATCCAGGCAGCGCCGGCTCAAGACGTGCTCATCGCTCTTGAGCATCGCCCTCAATGATCCATGAGAGCGCTAGAGATTGCACTAGACAAGCTTGATCGCACGGAAGATCTCCATGCCAGCGTCGAGCGATGGCTGGATTTGCCAAGAACATAGCTTCCATATGAATGGATGGCTACTTGCGGGAGATCCAAGGCTGTGCCTTGCTCGATCGCGCAAGAGATCTCCACGCCAGCGTCGACCGCTCGCTGCGATCTGGGGATATCTTCCTCGGCAACAAGATCATCGAGATGTATGGACGCTGCGGCAGTCCCGGCGCGTCTTTCGATCGATGCCGGTTTGGGATTCCTTCACCTGGAATCTCCTGCTTGATGCTCATTGCAAGAATCGGGATTTGGAGGGCGCGCGAGAGGTTTTCGATGGCATGCCCAGCGCCGCCAGGGACATGGTGTCGTGGAACACGATCTTGTTCGCATATGCCCGATCGGGGGAACTGTCGGTGTGTCGGGAGATCTTCGACAGAATGCCGGGACGAGATCTTGTGTCGTGGAACACAATGATTGCTGTATCTGCGCAAGCGGAGACTATGGACGATGCAAAGGTAATTTTTGATGAGATGAAAGAGAAGAACTTGGTGTCTTGGAACTCTCTTCTTGCGGTATATGCCCGAGAGAGGCATTTGGAAAACGTCAAGGCGGTCTTTTTGGCAATGCCGCTGTGGCGCCTGGAACTCGTTGCTGGCTGCGAGCAAAGATTTGAAGGATGGAGTTCATGTTTTCTTGCATGAAATGCCGGAGCATGATCAATTCTCTTGGAACGCAATGCTCGATGTTTATTCTTGTAATGGGAATGTTGAAGAGGCCAGGGAGTTTTTCACTGCGATGCCTTCTCGAGACGTGGTGTCTTACACGACGCTGCTTTCGCTAAATGCCGAGGCTGGGGATATAGAATCTGTGGAAAAGACTTTTGTCTTCATGCCAGAGTATAATTCTGCTTCCATGAACGCTATGACTCGTGTGTATGCGCGAAGCGGTCATGTAGATGAAGCCAGGAAAGTTTTTGATGAGAACCAATCAATAAACTTGATCTCGTGGAACACGCTTCTCACGGCATATGCCCAAAACGGGTATACTTCTGAAGCAGAGAGCATCTTCAAAGAGATGCCGAAGAGAAATGTGGTGTCTTGGAACGCAATGCTTGCGGGATATGCCCACTTTGGGTATGTCAAAGAAGCAAAGCTCTTATTCGATGATTTTCCAAAGCGGGACTTGGTAACCTGGAACATTATGCTTTCTGCTTTTGCGCAAAGCGGGTATTTGGAGGAATCGAAAAACGTATTTGATGAGATGCCACAGCAAGACGTGGTGTCCTTGACGACACTGCTGGGACTCTATGCAGGACGCATGCACGACGTTAAGACATTGTTTGAAAAGGTGGTGGAGTGGGATCTTGTTTCATGGACGTGCATGTTGATCATTCTAGCCGAGAACGGCGAGCTAGACGAGGCAAAGAAACTGTTTGATAGGTTGCGCGAACGGGATTTAGTGTGTTGGAACGCCATCCTTCGTGCCTACTCTCGCCATGGCCAGGTGTTAGAGGTGGAAAAGAACGTCCAGCAAATGCCACAAAGGGATCTCACGTCTTCGAATGCGGTTCTAGCTGCGTACTCTCAAACTGGAGATTTTGAACAAACCGAGAGGATGTTTGGAGAGATGCCTCAGTGGGATGTTCTAAGCTGGAACTCACGCATGGATGCTTTCGTCCAAGGTGGTCATTTAAAGAAGTCGGAAGAAATCTTTGATCTGATGCCAGAGAAAGATCAGTTTTCGTGGAATCTCATCTGGATTAAGCTCCATGATTTGGAGAAAGCGAAACACGTATTTGATTCAATGCCTTTTAGAAATGGAACGATGATGCTATCTGCATATGCCCAAGATGGGCATCTTGATCAATCACTCGTGATGCTCAGTGTCATGCCTCAAAGGAATGCCTTCACGTGGAATGTGATGCTGGGAGCATATACTCAGAATGGGAATATGCTCGCAGGAGAAGCACTGTTTGAGACACTGCCGGAGGAGAACTTAGTGTCATGGGGTGTTCTCGCTGGTTACACCAACAGTGGCAACCATGCAAGATGATCCATGTCCCAGAAGAGACGTGTTTCATCTCAGCTTTGATCTCATGTAGGAAGGATTGAAGAGAGCAAATCGTGCTTCTTGTCCATGATGCTCGATTATCACATCTGTTAGGCACTAGGTGAAGATAATAAAATAAAGAAAGGGCCTTACAATCAATTGATTACTTTTTTAGCCAGTTGGCTTAGGGTGTAAGGGATAAGATCCTAACATTGGAGCTCAGTTTGATTCTCGTGGTTAACGAGTGGGGCAAAAATATTTTAAAAGAATATTTAATATGGTGAATTTAGAGGGAGAACCAAGGTATGGTAGACTCTAAAAGAAGGACCATGGTGACCAAAGGGTGGCCTAAGTATGATCGCGGACAATTATTCCCTAACGAAAGGAGGATTGTTAAGTACCAGGTCAAGATAATAGGATAAAGAAAGGGCCTTACAATCAAGTGATCACCCTTTTAGCTAGTTGGCTTAAGGTGTAAAAGATAAAATCCTAACAACATCAATCCCAGCAAGTAGCACTACTGCTATATCGTAAGTGTCCTCTACCGCTTGGGGCATCTGAATGATGCTGTAGAGCTTGTCTTGAGCATGCCTTTCCATCCTGATAGGATGGAGTGGACGTGCTTGCTGGGAGCTTGCAAGAACTTTAATGATCTTGCTAGGGGAGCTAAAGTTACTAGCCAAGTTTTTGCACTTGATCCAGGTCATGAGACATCATATGTGCTGCTCGCAAACATATTTGAGTCATCTTTGAAACCAATGATCACTGACCGAGCTAGAGCTCGACCAAAGATGAGGTTCTTATAAACATTGGAGTTAGCTTCCTTGGACGGAGGTATAGCAACGACCTTTGAACCGTGGTCTATGTGACGTCTGATTTTACTGATACCATTGATTTTTTTCTTCCAGGTAAGAACTGGGAGGATTTCACGAAGCAACTGATCTACTATATGAATCTCATGAGTTGGGATTTTTATGGAGGGATCCACAGGACCATCCTTTTAAAAAGAGATCAAGCTAGGAGTTGACTGGAGAACAATTCTATGCTAGAAACGCCATGGCGTTTGCAGCGTTGGCTCCAGAAGTGTCATCGAGACGGCACTACAACCAAGGCCTTGATTCTGCTCGCTGCATAGTTCGATCCAGGATATCGTTTCTCAAGCTTCGCCGAGTCAATGCTATTGCTCTGGAAGCAGCAGTGAAAGAAGATCCGGAGCAGTTGTCCCCATTGATAACACCAGTAAGTCTCTTGGATTCTCATTGAGCTCTCATTGTCCTTGTCTTTGCAGAAACGAACTACAGACTTTCAAACACTTTTTCGGAGATTTTGCAAAGTTGCTCAACCTTACTGGCTCGACTCCAAGGAGGGAAACCAGGCAATCCTCCGGTTAGCGAGTGTTTTTGCTCTTACGCTTGCTTCCACGGGGACGAGCGTGGCATTTAGCTACCTTGGAAGGAGTTTTAACAACGCCTTGACAAGTAAGTGTGTCCAGATCTATCGGATTTCTTTAAACTTTTCTCCAGATAAGAATCGAGAGGAGTTTGTCAAGCACCTGATCTATTATTTGGGGCTTATGGTCGCAGCACTTCCGGTAAGTCGTTTGGATGTTTGTGCCTTTTTCAGCGAGTAATTAACTCGCTTGTCTTCGAGGTTTATGTAATCCGCGGATACGCACGAGACACTCTTGCTCTTCGATGGCGAGCTTGGATGACGAAACGCTACATGGCTCAGTATTTTTCTCAGAGATCCTACTATAACATTCAATCTCTGGCACTCATAGACAATCCAGATCAGAGAGTTGTGGACGATATCGGCTCGTTCACTCGCACGGCACTTATATTTACCATGACTTTGTTCCATTCCATCACCGATCTGGCGTCTTTCAGCGGAATTCTATACAGGATTTATCCACCACTGTTTGGTGTCTTGCTTGTTTACTCCATTGGTGGCACTGGAATTAGTTTCCTACTTGGAAAGGTATGATTTTCATCTTTTTGTTTTCAGCGAGTTCGTTCTGTTTCCTTGCAGGATCTCATGAACTTGAATTTCGTCCAAGAAAAGAGTGAGGCAGATTTTCGATTTGGATTGGTAAGAGTTCGAGAATCTGCGGAGTCCATCGCGTTTTATGGGGGAGAAAAGGATGAGCTTCAGTTGCTGCTGGAACGTTTTAAGCAAGCTTTTTCCAACTACAGTGTAAGTTTTGCTGGTTTTTCCATTGTCATTCTTTCGACAGTGTAAGCTACTGCATTGTTTTTGCAGAAACTACTCATAGCTTCGCGAAACCTAAGATTTTTCCAAATTTTTTACAACAACTTGATCCAAATCCTGCCCGCCGCCGTGGTGGCTCCGTTCTACTTTGCTGGAAAAGTCGACTTTGGGATCGTCAGTCAGTCTTTCCATGCTTTCAGCTCTGTTCTCTACGACCTCTCCTTGGTTGTGGACGAGTTTCAATCGCTTAGTTCCTTCTCCGCGGTTGTAGATCGCCTTGGTACAATTTCCTTCGTTTGCTTGGTTCTCTTCGACCTACCTTTACATTCACAGGTGAATTCAGTGACATATTGGATGAACAAGGCGTAATGAATGCTTCGGAGCTAATCACCATCAAATCGATCGAGACCACGGAAAGCGAGGTTCTTATAGAAGTTTCGACCTTGACACTGTTGTCTCCTCAACACACACTGACTCTTGTCGAGGGGCTCTCTTTCAGGATGATCGCTGGACAAAATCTTCTGGTCTGTGAATTTCTCAAAGTTTCTTCGTTGCTATCTGATGAATAACTCGGGTTTAAGACCAGGTAACTGGCCCCAGTGGAAGTGGCAAGACATCGTTCTTAAGAGCTATCGCAGGACTATGGAAATCCGGGCAAGGAACCATAGCAAGAAACTCTACCATGGATGTATTCTTCGTGCCGCAAAAGCCATACATGACTCTTGGAACACTCCGGCAACAATTGCTATATCCAACTTGGAGCACAGACGGGGAGAAAAAACACGATCAAGGTAGCGAGAATTTTTGGTCTTTTACACGTGAATCTATCAAAGTCTGCTCTCATGATCCAGAATCCAAGCACAGCGATACCGACTTGATGGAAGTCTTGCGTAGAGTGAAGCTTGAACAGCTCCTGGAACGCTCGTTTCACTTGGATGCGAATGCCGACTGGTCCAGTGTCTTGTCACTGGGAGAGCAACAGCGCCTGGCTTTTGCTCGATTGCTTCTATCAAAACCAAAGCTTGCGCTCCTGGATGAAGCAACCAGTGCCATAGACGAAGCAACTGAGGTAAAAGCTTGTCTCTTTGGTTCTCTTCTAAGATCTAGTCACTCTACGCAGGCTTACTTGTATCGACTTCTCCTAGAATCGGGAACTTGTGTGATGAGCGTTGGCCATCGCAGCACGCTTCATGAATTCCACACGCACTTGCTCTTCTTTTCCCCGCAAATCTCCGGGACGAGTATCTCGGAGTGGTCATTACACGACCTTCCTCAAAGAACCAGCTTTGAGTAGCAGTAGTTCTTCATCCATTGAAGTGAATAAGTGGAACACTGGCCATGGTGTTAGCCAATACTTTAGGCCAATGGTTGGTTGTGAACAATTTCCACATCACCTCACAAGGCCATATGATGACCATCTATGGGACCAACCATGCACTTCATGGATGACCTATGGATGTAGTCATACATGCATTTGGATGACCCATACATTGAATATGCTGCCAACAACGCGCAATGGAGGTTTGCATAGTAGCAAATGTTATGATCCGGCGCAAAAAGACAAAGACCTAGTTGCCCTAGACTATGCTACACCACCTCTTGAGGTTCCTCACCACCCAACCACCCCCGAGCTACCTCAAAAGCTTCACTGCGCCGCCACTCCCCTGTGAGCCCTAGGGTAGGCTAAGTCCCTTACCCTAACATGCCTTAATATACCCTTGAGCCTCCCTTTGACCAACGTTAACCACATAGTCAAAGCTGGCGCCTAACAATTCTTCCCCCCCAACAAAGTCCTTGTCCCAAGGATGAGTTGTATCGGTGATCACCCTTTTTGGGGAATCCTGCTCGAGCTCGTAGTCCATGTTCCAGAGCTGTATACATCAAGTAGGCATTGGGACAAGGACTTTGTTGGGGGGGAAGAATTGTTAGGCGCCAGCTTTGACTACGTGGTCAACGTCGGTCAAAGGGAAGCTCAAGGGTATATTAAGGCATGTTAGGGTAAAGGACTTAACCTACCCTAGGGCTCACAGTGGAGCGGCGGTGCAGTGGAGCTTTTGAGGTAGCTCGGGGGTGGTTGGGTGGTGAGGAACCTCAAGAGGTGGTGTAGCATAGTCTAGGGCAACTAGATCTTTGGTGGCAGACTTGGTACGCATTGGCTTTCAACACTTGATGACAATGGAGGCATTTTAGAAATGATAAGTTTTACTTAGAGGTCTAGCTTGTGATGCTTTAGTCTAGGTGTTCACAATATGGACAATCTTTACTATTGAGAAGCTCATCACATGCATGGAGTTTGATCTAGAGTTTTCTCCCACTATGTGGGAGTGATTGCAAGAAATAATAAATTATAAGGTAAATATGCACATTTTTATATTTCCATTCATTCATATTGGTGGAAGTAAAGGGTAATTTTGATTATCCCTGTAGAATGTTCAGATTTGTGTTTTTGGTTTAGATTTAACTTTTAGATTGTCTGGATCTTTCTTTTCTTACAGTTTTTTTTTAAAAATAATCTTGGCAAAGAAGCAGCCTCCTTTTGTTGACTCTTCTAGAGATTAACTCAAAATGGCTTGCAAAATTCCATAGCTTCATAATTGCAAACAAATTTCTTATTATGATCCGGCACAAAAAAAGACAGAAATCTAGTCACCCTAGACTATGCTATACCACTTCTTAAAGTTCCTACCACCCAACCACCCCTAAACTACTTCAAAAGCTCCACTATGTTACTGCTCCATTATGAGCCTTAGGGTAAGTTAAGCCCCTTACCTTAACATGCCTTAATATACCTTTGAGTCTCCCTTTGACCAATGTTGACCACATGGTCAAAGCTGGTGCCTAACAATTCTTTCCCCCCTAACAAAGTCCTTGTCCCAAGGACGAGTTGTAACAGTGATCACCTTTTCTGAGGAACCTTGCTCAAGCTCCTTATCCATCTTCCACAGCTGTATATATCAAGGAAGCATTGGGCCTATCACTCTACAATAGTACACCTTTCAACTGGCTGACATAAAATATTAAATGAATTTTCACCCTAGCTAGTAGCCACACTTGATAAGCCGCTTTACTAATGTGCTCTAGCACTTTATATGGACTAGCATATTAATGAGAAAGTTTGTCACTCTTCCCTGTCCATAAAGGCACTAAGGTGTTCTACCACTCACTTGACAGAAAGATTATTCACACAAAGACAAGATCACCCACCTTATATTCCCGGAATTGACGATGCTCATTAGCAAACTTCTTTGCTTTATCCTAAGTTATTTGCAAATTCCATTTACACACCACTTAAATCTCATCAAGTTTTGTGGCTAGATCAATCGCCTCAAAGTCAAGTTTATCTTGAACATCCTTACTCAAATGCAATCCTAACTCCACCATTGTTCGGGGATGCCTTCCAAACATGGTAAAATAAAGATTTAACTTGTTCCACTGTGTTGGCTATTGTTATAAGCAAATTGCACCAATGGAAGATATAAATCCCACTATCCTTGCCTTTGACCAACGCTACAACGTAATATATCCTCCACCACCTGATTTGATTTTTCCAAACGATCATGATAGTGGAATAAAACTTGAGTAGTTAATGCATCCACCTGTGACAAATATATATAGTCATTGTAATAGAGAATCCCATCTACCAATAAGAAAGGGGCTTCTATCTGGTCACACAAAAAAGCCACCTCAACATTCTAAACTTGAGCATGCTTAACCAATTGCCCAAACTCACTAACCACCTTACTCAAATGATAACAAAACTATGTTTGTAATGGCATCACATAACAAACACGAAATAAAGCATAAGCCAACTAGCTAAAGGGGCAATCATACTTAAGTTACCCTTTAGTCACCATGGTCCTTCTTTTAGGGTCTACCAAACCTTGGTTCTCCCTCTAGATCCACTATATTGAATATTCCCATAGAATATTCTTGCCCCACTTGTTAGTCACAAGAATCGAATTGGGCTTCGATACCAATATTAGGATCCTATCCCTTACACTCTAAGCCAATTGGCTAAAGGGGTTATCATTTGATTGTAGGGCCCTTTCTTTATCCTATTATCATAACTTGGTGCCTAACAATCCTCCACCACCTAGACCACAAGCTTAGTTTGCCCATCCGTCTGAGGGTGATTTTCACTCAAGAGTTTCAAAGTCACTTATATAGCCTTCACAAAGCTTTTCCAAAATCCACTTGTGAACTTTGAATTTTGATCACTAATGATGTCCTTCAGTAAACCAAAATCAGGAAAAAACCTTTTCCAAGTAGACTGCAACTAAGTTTGAGGCAATGACAGTCTTCCGAAAAGCCAACAACCGCACATATTTCGTCAATCGATCCATTATAACCCATTCTTGCTCCTTTTGCCTCTATGTGTGTGGCAAACAAGTGATGAAATCCATATAAATACTACACCAATGGCTCTAAGGAATAGGTAAACGTTGCAAAAGTCCCCTTGGTTTTTCTTGTGGCACCTTAACCCATTGACAGAGGTCACATGATTTACAATACTCAAGGATATCAACCTTTATATTCCTCTAATAAAAAATTGCATTTATTCAACTTATATTGGATCCATTTTGACACCCTTAGATGCCACAATATGGCCTAAATATTCCACCTCCGATTTTGCAAACTCGCATTTGCTCTTTTTCACATAAAGTTTGTTGTCACGGAGTAACAAAAGAACCTTGCGCAAATGCACTTTATGCTCCTCCATATTCTTGCTGAAAACAAGAATATCGTCCAAAAAAATCTCCACAAACTCATGAAGATAATGCCTAAATACCTTCGTTATCAACCGAGTGGCTAGTGCACTTGTCAAACCAAATGGCATAACTATAAACTCAAAATGCCCGAAGCTTGTGTTGAATGCTGTCTTGGAGATAGATGTATCATCCATTGCAATCTGATGATATCCACTCTTCATATCAATCTTGGTAAACACTCGTGCTTCACTAAGTTTGTATAAAATATCATCCGCACGCAGCATCGGCATCTTATCTTTCATTGTTTTTTTGTTCAAGGCACGGTAATCAATACACATCCGCATTAAACCGTCCTTCTTCTTTACAAGCAAGACCGGAGCACCAAATGGAGACTTACTTGATTGAATAAATCCAAACTTAGGTAACTCTTTGACTTGTCGTTGAACCTCTTGCTCCTCTCCATAACTTAATTGAAATGGACATCAATAAATTGGCCACATCCCTGACTCCAACATAATCCTATGCTCCACACTTTGTAATGGAGGTAACTTATGAGGAGGTTTAGATGAAAAGACATCAGAAAACTCATTGAGTATATCCCATACTACTGCTTCTCCCCCACACATGACTTGGTCCCCCAAGTCATGAACAAACAGCAAGTAACTTGAAAGTGTTTTTCCATTATGACAAGCCTACTTAAAAAATATAGCAGAGAGCATAACAACTGGATGTTGAACTCCCTCTCAAAACCACACATCTTTAATGCCACTATACTCCAGTGACACATGCTTAATACTCCACTTTATCTCTGGATCCACTTTTACCAACAACGGCATCCCAAAAATGAGATCCACACAATGGATATCCATGAGATAAAAAGTCTCTATAAGTGTGGTTTTGCCAACCAACACTTTTAGCCCCTTTACACAAGCATCAAAATGCTAAGCAAAGGTAGTTGCACCTTTCATCATGTATAGAAGAACTCCTTGTGTGACCAAGCTATACTCCGCAACAAACTTTGCCGAAATAAAGTTGTCATTGCTCCCACTATCCAGTAAAATCCGCACTAGACTACTACAGAACACGCCCTCCAGCATTAAAACTAATTCACGAGTATCCTCGAGCTCCATCATGTTCCACACACAATTAAGTTGACAAGGAACGATTGAAAGCCTCTTCCTCCAACCAGAATGGTTGTTCCTGTCATCCTCACGCTGCAAAGTTTGCAACTTTGTAGTATTTAACTTACTGTCAGTAGAAGATTGACTATTCTTCTTGCCTTGCTGCTCGTTCTTCAACTGTGGACAATCAGCCTTGTAGTGTTTAAGCTTGCTGCAATTATGACAACCCTATTTGTAATTCTTCACAAAGAACTTTTGCTTCTTTGACCCTTTTGCATCTAAAGTAGTCACCACAAACTTTAGCTTGTGATACTTGTTTCCATCCTTGTATCCACAGCAATCATCATGACAATTCTCGACAGAAGGACTCTGCAAACGCTTGCAAGACTTGTGCTTGTCATTGTCAAGTCGACAAGCCACGTCAAAAAGCTCCTCCAAATTCTTTAGAGACTGAGAATGACACAAGTGTTGCCGCATGCTCTCACTATGAAGGCCATCAATGAAGTAAGAGTTGTTTTGATCTGGCTAATCAAGTGAATAAGCTTCTCAATATAGTCCCCAAGCATCATTTTCCCTTGCTAAAAATGTTGAAGTTTTGTGCAAGCATTTTCTATGTCATAGTGAGGGGCAAAACGTAAATGAAAAGCAAACTCAAAGTCATCCATAGTAGATACTAGTGGTTTCTTATCTACAACACGAGACTCCTCAAGCCAATTCCACCATCGAAGACCCGCATCAACACCATCGAAATAGCCACTAAAGCCTCTACATCTGGAGTTCCCCTAGCAGCCAAGAACTTCTTCACATTGGCTAGCCAAGCGAGACACTCGTCCACACCACCATCACCGGAAAAAGTTAGAATCTTGAGTCGATCTACCAAGGAAGGTTTACTTAGAGTGCTACCACATTCAGCCTCGAGTGCCTCAACACACTCACACATGGTATTCATTATGCCATGCATCTCATCTTGCACCTCTTGCTAATTTTGATTAAGGGCTTGCAACTCATGAACAATATCTTGAATTTAAATCTCTACAGCTCTGTCAACACCATTTTTGGCACCACCATTAACAATAAGATTCCAGCATTTAGCTTGGTTGGCCATTGCAACCAACTCCTCTAATACCAGTGTTATGATCCAGTGCAAAAAAAACAATGATTTAATTGCCTTAGACTATGCTATGCCACCTTTTGAAGTTCCTCACCACCCAACCACCCCTAAGCTACCTCAAAAACTCCACTGCGCCACCACTCCATTGTGAGCACTAGGGTAGGTTAAGCCCATGCCTTAATATACCCTTGAGCCTCCTTTTGACCAATGGTTAAAGCTGGCACTTAACATTTTTAGAGGTCTATACTTGTTGGAATAACATCCTAGAAGCTATCTAAACAAGAAATGGATGAGGATACAATTTATTAGATTGATTCAATATTGATTCACATAAATACAAAAGTTTACTTTTCCTACAAAGGAAATCCGAGAAAATGCAACTTGTAATGCATCCAATTGTATTTTGTGATTTAGGGATTGACGCTGATTTGGGGCCTTTGAGTTTTCATACTTTACTTTGTTAGTGTTAAAATCCTCTTTGTCTGTAACACATATGGTTTTGACCTTTTATCCTATGGTGATTTACCATAGGATAACAGCACAAAGTAGAACCTAAACCCTCTTTATGCCACATGACACATGTCCAAGGACGGTGGTGCGGAACTTGAGTTTCAAGGCCTTAGGCCATTGAACAAAGGTACGTAGCCAAACCCCTAAACATGGAGAGCTAAGGAGTGACAGAACCAAACCATGGAGCAACCCTTAAGCATACAACCCAAGGAACGAAAGGACAGGAGCACGGAGCAACTTAGAACAGTCTTAGAGCAATTAATATCCCACTGCCAGGACTAACACACAAAACGGAGTTAAACAAAATCTGGCGCTTTTTCGGTATACTAGCTAACGCAAGGACATAGGTACTTCACCAACTAGTATGGTGTGGAACTTAAGCTTAGACACAAGCCGGACTCAAAACAAAGACAGACATGCAAATAGGAGTTAGACTATGCCTCAAGTTGGTCGGCCATGCCCAACCTATCCACTATCCCTACTATACATTTGGAACCCTCTATAGCTGCTCCTGGACAAATTTGCTGCGATCGATTGACTGGATGCCGGCGATCACGTTGAAAAATGTGATCCTGTTGTGCTGGACGCCATCCAGATCCATCGTGCGAAAGAGGAACAGCACCAAATCCTTGTGCCTGAGCCAGGCGTAAGCGCCGATCATCGCATTCCAGGAGATGAGGGTCTTCTCCTCCATGGCATCGAAGATGGATTGCGCCAGCTCCAGCGCGCCCAATCGCGCGAAGGAATCGAGCATCACGTTGTCGAGGACAAGATCACGGGTGCTGGTGGCGGTGGCCCTGGCGTGGATCAAGCGGAGGAGGGGGAGATCCCTGGTGCCAGCCGCAGCGATGGCGATGAAAGTGGATCCATTCAGATTGACGCCCTCGTGATCCATTCTTCGCAGGAGACTGATCGCTTGCGCCAGATGCCCGTTCCGGGCATATGCTGCGAGCATGATCGTCCAGCTAAAGACGTTGCGATGCGCGATCCCATCGAAGACCAGGCGCGCTTCCTCGAGGCTGGAGCACTTGCCATACATCTCCACCAGGAGATTGAGAAGGAATGTGTCGCTGGAGGAATGCGTGTTGATCATGGACGAGGAGGAGGTGATGTGGGCGTGAATCCGGCGCCCCTGCTCGATCGCCCTGGCATTGCTGCAGCGCTTGACGATCCAGGCGCACACCCCCCTGTCGCTGCTGGAATCGAGGCGCTGGATGTCCTCGTCGATTCGATCCAGGCAGCGCCGGCTCAAGACGTGCTCATCGCTCTTGAGCATCGCCCTCAGTGATCCATGAGAGCGCTAGGGATTGCACTAGACATGCTTGATCGTACGGAAGATCTCCATGCCAGCGTCGAGCGATGGCTGGATTTGCCAAGAACATAGCTTCCATTGTCAAACTATGACAAGTGATCCATGGATGGCTACTTGCGGGAGATCCAAGGCTGTGCCTCGCTCGATCGCGCAAGAGATCTCCACGCCAGCGTCGACCGCTCGCTGCGATCTGGGGATATCTTCCTCGGCAACAAGATCGTCGAGATGTATGGACGCTGCGGCAGTCCCGGCGATGCCAGCAGCGCCTTTCGATCCATGCCGGTTTGGGATTCCTTCACTTGGAATCTCTTGCTTGGTTCTCATTGCAAGAATCGCGATTTGGAGGGCGCACGAGATGTTTTCGATGGCATGCCCAGCGCGGCCAAGGACATGGTGTCGTGGAACACGATCTTTTCGGCATATGCCCGCTCGGGGCAACTGTCGGTGTGTCGGGAGATCTTTGAAAAAATGCCCGGAAGAGATCTTGTGTCGTGGAACACAATGATTGCTGTCTCTACGCAAGCGGAAACTACGGACCATGCGAAGGGAATCTTTGATGAAATGAAAGAGAAGAACTTGGTGTCTTGGAACTCTTTTCTTGCGGTATATGCCCGAGCGAGGCATCTGGAAAACGCTAAGGCGGTCTTTTTGGCAATGCCTCTGCGGGATTTAGTCGCCTGGAACTCGTTGCTGGCTGCGAGCAAAGATCTGAAGGATGGAGTTCATGTTTTCTTGCATGAAATGCCGGAGTATGATCAAATCTCTTGGAACGCAATGCTAGATATTTATGCTACTAATGGGCATGTTGAAGAGGCCAGGGAGTTTTTTACTGCGATGCCTTCTCGAGACGTGGTGTCTTACACGACGCTGCTTTCGCTAAATGCCGAGGCTGGGGATATAGAATCTGTGGAAAAGACTTTTGCCTTCATGCCAGAGTATAATTCTGCTTCCATGAACGCTATGACTCGTGTGTATGCGCGAAGCGGTCATGTAGATGAAGCCAGGAAAGTTTTTGATGAGAACCAGTCAGTAAACTTGATCTCGTGGAACACGCTTCTCACGGCATATGCCCAAAACGGGTATACTTTTGAAGCAGAGAGCATCTTCAAAGAGATGCCGAAGAGAAATGTGGTGTCTTGGAACGCAATGCTTGCGGGATATGCCCACTTTGGGTATGTCAAAGAAGCAAAGCTCTTATTCGATGATTTTCCAAAGCGGGACCTGGTAACCTGGAACATTATGCTTTCTGGTTTTGCACAAAGCGGGTATTTGGAGGAATCGAAAAACGTATTTGATGAGATGCCACAGCAAGACGTGGTGTCCTTGACGACACTGCTGGGACTCTATGCCCAACAAGGACGCATGCACGACGTTAAGACATTGTTTGAAAAGGTGGTGGAGTGGGATCTTGTTTCATGGACGTGCATGTTGATCATTCTAGCCGAGAACGGCGAGCTAGACGAGGCAAAGAAACTGTTTGATAGGTTGCGCGAACGGGATTTAGTGTGTTGGAACGCCATCCTTCGTGCCTACTCTCGCCATGGCCAGGTGTTAGAGGTGGAAAAGAACTTCCAGCAAATGCCACGAAGGGATCTCACGTCTTGGAATGCGGTTCTAGCTGCGTACTCTCAAACTGGAGATTTTGAAAAAACCGAGAGAATGTTTGGACAGATGCCTCAGTGGGATGTTCTAAGCTGGAACTCACGCATGGATGCTTTCGTCCAAGGTGGTCATTTAAAGAAGTCGGAAGAAATCTTTGATCTGATGCCAGAGAAAGATCAGTTTTCGTGGAATCTCATCCTCGCCGTGTGGATTAAGCTCCATGATTTGGAGAAAGCGAAACACGTATTTGATTCAATGCCTTTTAGAAATGTTGCCTCGGGAACGATGATGATATCTGCATATGCCCAAGATGGGCATCTTGATCAATCACTCGTGATGCTCAGCGTCATGCCTCAAAGGAACGCCTTCACGTGGAATGTGATGCTGGGAGCATATACTCAGAATGGGAATATGCTGGCTGGAGAAGCACTGTTTGAGACACTGCCGGAGGAGAACTTAGTGTCATGGGGTGTTCTTCTCGCTGGTTACACCAACAGTGGCAACCATGCAACAAGCTTGGATGTATTAAATCGCTTGAAGATGATCCATGTCCCGGAAGAGACGTGTTTCGTCTCAGCTTTGATCTCGTGTAGCTACCTAGGAAGGATTGAAGAGAGCAAATCGTGCTTCCTGTCCATGACGCTCGATTATCACATCAATCCCAGCAAGCAGCACTACTGCTGTATCGTAAGCGTCCTCTGCCGCTCGGGGCATCTGAATGATGCTGTGGAGCTTGTCTCGAGCATGCCTTTCCATCCCGATAGGATGGAGTGGACGTGCTTGCTGGGAGCTTGCAAGAACTTTAATGATCTTGCTAGGGGAGCTAAAGTTACTAGCCAAGTTCTTGCACTTGATCCAGGTCGTGAGACATCATATGTGCTGCTCGCAAACATATTTGAGTCGTCTTTGAAACCGATGATCACTGACCGAGCTAGAGCTCGACCATAGGTGAGGTTTTTATAAACATTGGAGTTAGCTTCGTTGGACGGAGGTATAGCAACGACCTTTGAACCGTGGTCTATGTGACGTCCGATTTTACTGATACCATTGATTTTTTTCTTCCAGAGAACTGGGAGGATTTCACGAAGCAACTGATCTACTATATGAATCTCATGAGTTGGGATTTTTATGGAGGGATCCACAGGACCATCCTTTTAAAAAGAGATCAAGCTAGGAGTTGACTGGAGAACAATTCTATGCTGGAAACGCCATGGCTTTTGTAGCGTCGGCTCCAGCAGTGTCATCGAGACGGCACTACAACCAAGGCCTTGATTCTGCTCGCTGCATAGTTCGATCCAGGATATCGTTTCTCAAGCTTCGCCGAGTGAATGCTATAGCTCTGGAAGCAGCAGTGAAAGAAGATCCGGAGCAGTTGTCCCCATTGATAACACCAGTAAGTCTCTTGGATTCTCATTGAGCTCTCATTGTCCTTGTCTTTGCAGAAACGAACTACAGACTTTCAAACACTCTTTCGGAGATTTTGCAAAGTTGCTCAACCTTACTGGCTCGACTCCAAAGAGGGAAACCAGGCAATCCTCCGGTTATCGAGTGTTTTTGCTCTTACGCTTGCTTCCACGGGGACGAGCGTGGCATTTAGCTACCTTGGAAGGAGTTTTGACAACGCCTTGACAAGTAAGTGTGTCCAGATCTATCAGATTTCTTTAAACTTTTCTCCAGATAAGAATCGAGAGGAGTTTGTCAAGCACCTGATCTATTATTTGGGGCTTATGGTCGCAACACTTCCGGTAAGTCGTTTGGATGTTTGTGCCTTTTTCAGCGAGTAATTAACTCGCTTGTCTTCGAGGTTTATGTAATCCGCGGATACGCACGAGACACTCTTGCTCTTCGATGGCGAGCTTGGATGACGAAACGCTACATGGCTCAGTATTTTTCTCAGAGATCCTACTATAACATTCAATCTCTGGCACTCATAGACAATCCAGATCAGAGAGTTGTGGACGATATCGGCTCGTTCACTCGCACGGCACTTGTATTTACCATGACTTTGTTCCATTCCATCACCGATCTGGCGTCTTTCAGCGGAATTCTATACAGGATTTATCCACCACTGTTTGGTGTCTTGCTTGTTTACTCCATTGGTGGCACTGGAATTAGTTTCCTACTTGGAAAGGTATGATTTTCATCTTTTTGTTTTCAGCGAGTTCGTTCTGTTTCCTTGCAGGATCTCATGAACTTGAATTTCGTCCAAGAAAAGAGTGAGGCAGATTTCCGATTTGGAATGGTAAGAGTTCGAGAAAATGCAGAGTCCATCGCGTTTTATGGGGGAGAAAAGGATGAGCTTCAGTTGCTGCTGGAACGTTTTAAGCAAGCTTTTTCCAACTACAGTGTAAGTTTTGCTGGTTTTTCCATTGTCATTCTTTCGACAGTGTAAGCTACTGCATTGTTTTTGCAGAAACTACTCATAGCTTCGCGAAACCTAAGATTTTTCCAAATTTTTTACAACAACTTGATCCAAATCCTGCCCGCCGCCGTGGTGGCTCCGTTCTACTTTGCTGGAAAAGTCGACTTTGGGATCGTCAGTCAGTCTTTCTATGCTTTCAGCTCCGTTCTCTACGACCTCTCCTTGGTCGTGGACGAGTTTCAATCACTTAGTTCCTTCTCCGCGGTTGTCGATCGCCTGGGTAAACTTTCCTTCGTTTGCTTGGTTCTCTTCGAGCTACCTTTACATTCACAGGTGAATTCAGTGACATATTGGATCAACAAGGCGTAGTGAATGCTTCGGAGCTGAGCACCATCAAATCGATCGAGACCACGGAAAGCGGGGTTCTTATAGAAGTTTCGACCTTGACACTGTTGTCTCCTCAACACACACTGACTCTTGTCGAGGGGCTCTCTTTCAGGATGATCGCTGGACAAAATCTTCTGGTCTGTGAATTTCTCAAAGTTTCTTTGTTGCTATCAGATGAATAACTCGGGTTTAAGACCAGATAACTGGCCCCAGTGGAAGTGGCAAGACATCGTTCTTAAGAGCTATCGCAGGACTATGGAAATCCGGGCAAGGAACCATAGCAAGAAACGCTGCCATGGATGTATTCTTCGTGCCTCAAAAGCCATACATGACTCTTGGAACACTCCGGCAACAATTGCTATATCCAACTTGGAGCACAGACGGGGAGAAAAAACACGATCAAGGTAGCGAGAATTTTTGGTCTTTTACACGTGAATCTATCAAATGTGTGCTCTCATGATCCAGAATCCAAGCACAGCGATGCCGACTTGATGGAAGTCTTGCGTAGAGTGAAGCTTGAACAGCTCCTGGAACGCTCGTTCCACTTGGACGCGAATGCCGACTGGTCCAGTGTCTTGTCACTGGGAGAGCAACAGCGCCTGGCTTTTGCTCGATTGCTTCTATCAAAACCAAAGCTTGCGCTCCTGGATGAAGCAACCAGTGCCATAGACGAAGCAACTGAGGTAAAAGCTTGTCTCTTTGGTTCTCTTCTAAGATCTAGTCACTCTACGCAGGCTTACTTGTATCGACTTCTCCTAGAATCGGGAACTTGTGTGATGAGCGTTGGGCATCGCAGCACGCTTCGCAAATTCCACACGCACTTGCTCTTCTTTTCCCCGCAAATCTCCGGGACGAGTATCTCGGAGTGGTCATTACAAGACCTTCCTCAAAGAACCAGCTTTGAGTAGCAGTAGTTCTTCGTCCATTGAAGTGGATAAGTGGAAGACTGGCTTTTGGGAATGCAAGCAAGCAAGCGCTTTGCAGCCTTGCTATAGTGTGGAGAAGCTCCAGCAGCTCCATGCAACGATCTGTCGCAAGTTTGGAGCTGTGGAGGAAGCGGCTGCGGTGTTTGATAGCATCCAGCGTCCAAACGTCTTCTCGTGGAACAACATCGTCACGGCATATGCACAGAACGGGTTTTTGGAGCGAGCGCACAGCGAGTTCAACGCCATGCCCGAGAGGAACTCTGTGTCCTGGAACATAATGGTGACGGGCTATGCCCAGACTGAGTATCTCACACAGGCTGAGGCTTTGCTCGAGAGAATGCCACAGCATGGAGTGGTTTTGCTCAGTGCTTGGATCGTGGGCTTTTCACCATACCACGCTCGGGCATATCATCAAACAAATCTCGGAACTCTCGCATATGCCCATTCACGGCATAGGCAGCCAACATAGCCGTCCAAGACACAGCATTGAGCTCTGGAAACCGATCAAAAAGCGTCTTTGCGTTCTCGAGCTGACCCATCTGACCCAGCGAGTCGATCATAGCAGTCCACGAGACAACGTTCTACGCTGGCATTCTCTCAAAACTCCCAGTCCAAGTTATGAGGCTGGACGATTCTCTCAAAAGTAGCCTCTGCTTCGGTTTGGCCGGGATTTGGGATGAGTTTGCAAGCGTACGTAAATCGTGGAACCTTGTAGTCCATTGTCATGCCGCAAATGGAGATTTGGTAGTTCCTCGCAGGGATTCCATGGATATCCAATCCTTCCAGGCTTCCATGGTTCCTAGCAACCAAAGCAAGCAGTTGCGTCGAGGCATTCTTGCAAAAATTCTCCTTGCTTGATTGCTTGAGACGCCAGCAATGCCGCAACACTGTGTAGTGACTTCGACATTTATAGTCGTCAGATATTCCTGAATCACAATCTTATTATTTAGCTGCTTTAAATTTATTTGTGTTTTAAATATAATAATTTATAACATTCCAACATTTGTGAAGTGAGCATAACATGGTGTCATTAACTGCTGTATTGGGAGGCTCTATTCCATCTTGAAATATTTATAGTGAGTTTTATCCATTCATCACTTCATCATCATCACCTCTGTTCTAGTGAAGAAGCTGTTCCAAATCACTCGGAATAGCTATTGGTTTCAAACTGAACTAAAAACCACATCTCAGACAGTAATCTAAAACTTGAATGGGTTGCCTAACAATGCATATTACATTTGCATTGCAAGCATTCTAGGGCTGTGGGGGGTTCCAAATGTATAGTAGGGATAGTGGGTAGGTCGAGCATGGCTGACCAACCTAAGGCATAATTTAGCTCCTGCTTGCGTGTCTATCCTTGTTTTGCATCCGGCTTGAGTATAAGCCCAAGTTCCATTCTATGCTAACTGGTGGAGTACCCATGTCCTTACATTAAGCCACCAATATGCCGAAATAGTGTCAGACTTCATTTGGCTCTGTTTTGTATGCTGGTCTTAGCATTGGGATGCTGGTTGCTCTAGGACTGTACCAAGTCACTCCGGGCTCCTGTCTCTTTGCTCATTGGGCTATATGCTCGTGAGTTGCTCCGTGGTTCGGTTCCGTTGCTCCTAGGCTCCATGCTTGGGAATTTGGCACCATTCCTTTGTTCAGTGGCCCAAGGCCTTGAACCTCGGGTTCTGTACCACTGTCCTTTGGACATGTCACGTGGCATAAAGAGGGTTTAGGTTCCACTTCGTGGTGTTATCCTATGGTAAATCACCATAGGATAAAAGGTCAAAACCACGTACGTTACATTTAGGTTTGTTATAAGTGGTGAATAGGCTAGTCTGTAGCTATTTAGTATGGCATTGGTGGACCTTTTTTCGACATCATTATAAGTGGATCAATCAAGATTGTGTGGATTATTTTATTGGTTCAAGTAATCATTACCATGCTCTCTCATAAAATTTTCTTAAATTAGACTAAAAAGAAATGTGAACACAAGCTTGAGATTTAGTCAAATTAAGACAAAAAAAAGAGTCATTAGAGACAAAGGATCAAACATGTAAATAATTTTTTCTTCTTAGAGAGATGATTTGCAACAAGATATTAACTTATTACTTGCATTTACATCATACAATCAAAAATCCCTACCTTAATGCATGGTGGTTATGATTCTCTTACAATGGGTAAACTCTCAAGAACCAAGGTACCAACTCAAACTTAGTATAATGGACCACCATTGAGAACTAAGTTAAAACTACTTCAATATTACTATATGCAAGTAGATTACTTTCACTATCAACCATTTTGGGGTAGACCATTGTTTAACCAAGCAACTTCGTAAACACATTGCTCACAATCACATAGATATGATATGTATTACAATGATTTGATCATCAATTGAGCAATATCACAAGTAATGCTTTTGTCATTACTACAAAGATTTATATGAGCATCAAGTGCCACCTCATTTCAACAAACCCGAAGGAGGTTTACTTTTACCTACAATAACATAAAACAACTCATGGAACCATTGATAGGATAATATTAATTTTGTCAAGTTAAAGTGTATCCTTGAGTTGCTAATGTGCTTCATTCACCAGCCTAAACACAAACTCATGCAAATGGTACACCTCAATCCATGGTACATATCAATTCATCTTATAAACCCAAGCCTAAAGTCACAAAAGTACAAAAAAGTAACCAAAATCCATACCCAAAGAGTGAATACGAAGTCATAACACCCAAACGTGTCACAAGCTTCACTCTTGCAACTTCAACTCAGAATATCTTCTAATTCACACATCCAATCTTTTTGATCTTGAGCTCATTGGAAAACCCTCATTGAGCTCTTCAAGTTCCTAAAATTTTCATTGTATATGAGATAATTGCCAAGAACTTCTCAGCACTAAAACCACTTGAACTTCACCAACTTCAGTTATATCTCCCCTTTGGGGCCCTAGCATGCTACATCACTTCCTTTTACACTTCCTCTAACATATAAACCATATAAATCTCTAAAAAATAAGGGAAAAATGCAAAGTGAATCAACTTTTTCAGTTTATATTACTAAATATGGAATGGCACTAGATTGTGAATTTGGATACAAGACTAACACCATTGTGTTTAGGACAATTTCTACATTCTGTAGATATGCCAAATTAACAAATCTAAACACTTCTCATAAATAGCAATTGAGACTAAATGAAGCTAACAAAAGGTGCATGATAGTAAGGTTGTTTGGTAAACATAATAAGCTATCATTTAGCAATATTGAGGGACCAAACTCAATATCACAGGAGTTATTGTCAAGTCAGTGTAAGACAGAGCAAAAGAGAATTAACAAACCTGGCCAAATATGCTTTGCTAAATAAATATTTAAAAATTCCTTCTTTATGCTCATCCAGCCAAATATAGATGTTAAATCAAATTTATGAACACTTGAACAAAAGGGACTAATAAAGGTTCAATAATACCAATCTCCTGCTATCGTTGCAGTAAGGAAAGAATATCCAAAAGAACTTGCGGATAAGTAGCTTTCGATACCTATAATCACATTCATGCATTATGTATCAATATAAATTCATCTCATAATCTTCACTTTAGTTTTGGCTAAGTGTTGATCATGTATAGCTAGCCTCTTCATTTATACTTAAAGCTATTAGTTATACGTGTTGGTGATTTTAGTGCAATTCAATTATATTTGAATGGTCATTTAGTCTGTATTTGTCTATGTTCATATATCTTATACCTAGGTGTTACATTTATGTTGGACAAATATATAACTCAATGATGTGAGTTTAGTGTTTAGGTCTTATAAAGGAAAGTTGATGAGTGATTATTGATTGCTTTACAACTAATAATTATTTATAGACTTTGTTTAGAACTATTAACACTTGCTTCACTTGATGAGTGGTGGCATCTAATAGTACATACTTCTTCAATTTATATCAATGAACCTCAAGCTTTAAAATCTATAGAAAAAATGCCAAGTAATTCATTATTTTGACTTCACAAATCTTTAGGTGCATTCACAAATAAAAAACAATTGGATTGCCAAAACCTTTAAAATCTAAAAAGTGTTAAAATTCTTACAATTAGATGCTTAAGTACTTAGTCTCAACAAGAAATTACATACTTTTATGTATTATTCCTCATTACCACTCTCAGATATTGAAGTATAGTCTAAATCATATGGGATAGACTATCCACTTATCCTATCCCATCCTGCACTTGCATAAGACCTCTCAAACAAAAGGATGCCATCATTTATAATAAAATGATTTGAAATTGATAAAAGAAACTTATTCATGTTTTTTAGTGCCAAAACCTAAAGAAAATAACCATTTAGCTATTTTGATTGTTAGTCAGGAATGTGCATAATAGGCATGTGTGGCTGACCATTGAAACCATCTTATCACATTGGATGCCTGTACATAATAATAACATAATCAAAATATTGCCACATGGAGGGCAATACAAACTTTTTTGCAGTACTGAATAACAGAATACTTCTGAGACTCCATGCCCAACAAGAACACATGCAGGACATTAAGACAGGTGGATGAGTGGGATCTTGTTGTTGATCAGCAAAGAAACTGTTTGATAGGTTGTGGAAACAGGATTTAGTGTGTTTCGTGCCTACTCTCGCCATTGAGTGCTCTCAATGTGGAGATTTTGAAACGACAGAATGGATGTTTGTACAGATGCCGCAGTGGGATGTTCTAAGTTGGAACTCACGCATGGATGCTTCGTCCAAGGTGGTTCATTTAAACAGGTCAGAAGAAATCTTTGATCTGATGCCAGAGAAAATCAGTTTTTGTGGAATCTCATCCTTGCAGTGTGGGTTAAGCGCCTTCATTTGGAGAATGCCAAACATTGTTTTGATTCCATGCCATGCCTTTTTCGAAATGTTGCCTCGGGAACAATGATGATATCTGGAAGATGGGCATCATGATCGATCACTCTTGATGCTCAGCGTCATGCCTCAAAGGAACGCCTTCACGTGGAATGTGATGCTGGGAGCGTCATGGAGTGTTCTCCTCGCTGGTTACAACAACAGTGGCAACCATGCCACAAGCTTGGATGTATTAAAT